ATAACATTTATTATGAGTTAAAGTGGTACTAATGACCATTTTAAATAGACGTTGATACATAAAAAGTACTACAAAATATTAAGTTTTCATAATACTTGAGCATTTCATCTTAACTAAAATCCATATTTTTCTTTCAACTTATTACAATATTTTACAAGAACTTCTTGTTGACTATAATTCATTCTATAAGTGTTTGACATGATCAATTGAATTACTTCAAACTTCATATTTTCCATGTTTAATATGTTTTCTTCCTTCTTAAGTTGTGCTAGTTTTTCCTTTGGTGCTACTATTTTGTTCGTTGTATCATGCACAACATTAGAAGATAGTTCAGATGCATTTGCATTTTCCTTTACCTTGCCTTTCCTTTTTGTTGTCTTTTCTCCCATTGGACGCTCCATGGAGATGATGAGTTATACTCATAACTTAAAGATATCTTTGGTTTAGACAATGACTAGTATACCTTACTAGAAATTTTATTTGTCTTTTTTTGAAGAATTTTGGGTTTATCCTCCATCCATTTAGGTCAATCTTTTAACAATCGTCATGCATATCCAATATTGAATGGTGCACCTTCATCCTGAGCAAAAAAAAAGTGCATTGATTAAGTTATCTTTCCCAATGTCCCATTTTTCTTTCCCTGAACAACTTGTTCGTAGCACACAACAAGTTTTTGAACAAGGACATTTATTCAATGTCATCAACATTTTAATTGGCTGTGTAGATTTCCTCGCGACTTCCCACGATACTAGTTATAATTGGTGGCGATTCTTAACCAAAAACTGTCGACTTTTTTTATTTATCAACTCTCACTATTGGATCTTTTGAAACATTGAGTGATGGTTGCATGAGAAGTGTATATTCGTCCCTTGTGAATAACTCTAGATTTTTTTTTATCGAATGCCTTTATTCTATTTCAATTGTAATATTTACAATACTAATTTGAGTTGAAAATTGTCGAACTTGATGTTCAAACATAAACCCAATTGGCAGTATTTCGGATTCACGACAAGAAAACCTCACTCCAATATTTACTCGAGGCCTATAATACAAATTTGGGTTGTTTGGTGACGCAAAAAATACGGTGGATTTTGTTAGCAGTGATACAAATTGAGAATTAGGAGGTGGTGGAAGTTGAGAATTTGGAGGATTAGGATGTTGGAAATTTTGCATGAGATAAAACATAAACTGTTGAAAGTTATATTGATTAGAATTTATTTTACTTTGACAATTTCAATTTTGAAGTAAAAAAGTTCAATGAGATGAAGTTGTGAGAGAAAAAAATTAAAAATATAGAATAAAATGGTGAAACTCTGAAAGGGAAATTGGAAATTTAAGAGAGTAAAATTGTGATAGAAAATTTGAGTGTTAAATTTTTTAAATAACCTTATTTATAAGTAAATATTTTGTTAAAAAATGCAAGAGGTACGAAACTCAGAACATTAATATGTTTATTTATAATCATTATATATTATCGTTGCTATGTGAAGCAACAAATGAACAACATGGTGAATCCAACGCTCATTTTTTTAATCGAGTTTGTCAGTCTGGAGGAATGTGAACAAACTGTAGCTGGAGATGGACTAAAAGACATTTACAATAAATTTCTATCAATTGGTTTATCCTAACCACTTAGCATACTCATGTCCCCAAGAATTTCCTCTTGAGAATTCCAATAAATATTTGAGATTTTAACTGACTAATCCCATGAAACAAACAAGATAACAAGCTAATCTCCAAACAAAACAAAGTCTTTAACTTCATCGGACATCATTGGAAATTAGTTGGGGTTTATTAGACAGGAGATCATCAACGACTTTATATATCATCATTGGACATTAGTTGTTGTCATCATCAAAACCATTGTGAACATCTGACAGTTCCAGATAGTTGTACCTACAAGCACATATATCCATATTGTCTCCTTTTTTATAATGACAACACATTTCTCAAGGGTGTGGAAAAAACAGAAAATCATAGTTAAAACATTGAATTGGTTAAACTCCCCTCACAAATTTAGAGTGTATAAATAAATAGACAAAAGCCGCAAAAAAATTCAAGCACGTAAATTACAAATAGTCAAGTGAGAATACAAAATTAATAATAAATTTGAATTTGAATACAAGGAAAGAAAATTTCATGAAATTAAAGACATTTAAAAAGAGAACAAAATAACTTCTCTTTGTAACTATTATCATAATTCGATATTCCTTTCTCCATTGTATGTTTCTTGAGAAAGGAAATCTCCTTTGGAGTTTTTTGAAAAGCTATGGATTTTTTTGTGAGATTGAAATAAGTGTTGAGAATGTTGGAAGAAATTTCTTGAAGAACTTCAACATCATCTGTTTCCGTCTCTGTTGGAATATACTACAATTTTCTATCAACGACTCAAATCTTTATCTCTTTTAAATTATTTTGTCCAAAGGAAACATATGACGAATCTGAAGGTTCATTTATAGTATTAACTTCAAATTTATCTAATATCATAGTGATCAAACTTCCATACGAGAGCCATATTAAGGTTCTCATCTTGGAGATAATCACGTGACACATCACTCAATATGTCTAATTGGTTGAATAATTCTAAGTTAGCATCCTCAAGGTTACACTGTCTTTCTTTATGAGTTCTTTCATATGGTCTTTCTGAAGAGAAATCGCAATACAAAGCATAATGGAAAATTAAAAATTTCCTTTAACTGATCCTTATGAATGATGCATGATCACTGATATAATGATTACCTCTTATGACAATTAACACCTTTAAAATAGAATCAAAGGAATGATCATGAGTATTGTATGAAGAATAATGATTCTACTCAGTCCACACAAACAGAGTGTCTTCAATCATAGAGCTAGCTGCTATGAATGAAGAGTTTGAGTGAGTGAGAAAGAGAGAAATTATGGTCAGAGTTTCATAAACCAAATTGCATCAAGTGTAAAAGCTTATGCACAAGGGTTATATTTATAAAACCACTTGTGTGGACTACAAGGTGAAAAATCTCACTTAAGTAGATTGTACATTATGGTGTAACATATTTCACTTAAGCCCATAATATCTTACTGTATTATGTATTCCACTTAAGTGAATTGTACCTTAAAGTGTTCCATAATTCTTTTAAGTACATTGTACCTTACATTGTTCCTTATTTGTTATATCTCTCATCAATCTGTCATTATGTGTGTGACCCTATAGGCTTCCCTAACGTTGACAATTATATTAAATCACACATTTAATATAATAAATAGTGAGCAATATCTAGAAACACATCACTGCTACTCAAGTCATGAAAATGCCATGTGATCTAACAAAATATTTTCGTGATAACGATTGTGTGTACAATTACCCTTTTGTCCGCACGTTTATATTTAACACCAGACATTGACTGTGTTACCATTGTCCAGTTCAATATTGCACCCTTAGACTTTTATCCTGTTACATATGATGGAAAAATTCCATCTAGGTAACTTATGTCTCTCAACATGATTTGTATAGTATCCATCAACTGTCTTTATGGTCATCTAGTTACAGACAATGTTTGATCAACAATAAAGTACTCGACTCCACATCTAAGATCTATAGTAGTTTCAAGTCGAAGGGTGGTATACACCAATATCACGATGAGAATAATTTATGACTCTTTGCCTAACATTATATGTACTATTCTCATAGCAGGTCAATCCAGTATAAATATTACTCACAATATTCATACCCATGTGAAGACTTGATAATTCTTTATCCATGATCCATGAGACGTGATCATCACTCTATCTACATAATAGTCTCAATGTTTAATGTTAACCTGCTTCTTAATAAGTTTGACTACATATACTTTAAAAATCATATCCTTATATTTAATGAGATCTCATGATTAAGTCACACTTAATATTTCGTTAGACTAAAAAATATATTATTTTAAAAAAACGAACATAATAATAAAATGTCTTTTAAATATTAAAAAATAATTTGATAGAAATACCAAATTTTAATAAAACTATTAGTCTTCGAGTCTTACACCAACACTTTCTTTAAAAGAAATGTGAGTCATTAAGTGGCTCGCAACATAGAACTTTGCCTTCAACATTTTCATTTTGATAGGAAGCCTGCAGTTTTCCATTGGTTTGATAAGGAAATTTGAGATAGTAATTGAGAGATTGAAATTTTGAAAATGGTGGGAGACATGGGTCTTTTGGAGAATAGTGCCTAGATTTGAGATTTTTAGTTGAGGAAGGGGTTGTTTATCTGAAACTTGAGTTCGCTACAAATCTCTTTTTGCATATCCTAAAGTTTTCACTTTCTTAGGGTGACAATATTTGGCGGTAAAGTGATAGTAAGTATGGTGAGTTTTAAGTAAAAGTGCTTATATTATTTTTTTCTTGTATGGTTCAAGTTGAAGACTACTTGAACGTCGTTGGTTTGATTCTACCACTTGTCTGGAAGAGTTGGGCTTCTTCCACGTTTAGCCTATTCTCTTTCTAGCTACATCAGGATAGAGTTTCCATTAGCGATAACCTTTCTAGGTGCCGCACGATGATGAATCCGGCTAAGATCTCGTGTGCCTTTTTGCCAAAGAACTGTGGAAACCACAAATAACCTTTATTCTTTAACTTTTGAGGTGGAGGATTGCATGTAGTATAGTACCTTCAATGGTTGGCTTGGTCTTTGGTTTTACTTAAGAGAGGAGAGATTTTTATTAGGGAGTATACATTGTGACACTTTATTTTCATTTTCTTATATTTTTGTTTTTTTTTAACTCTTTGTATACGAGATTTGATATATATATATATATATATATATATATATATATATATATATATATATATATATATATATATATATATATATATATATATATATATATATATATATATATATATATATATATATATATATATATATATATATATATATATATATATAACTTTTCAAATTTTCAATTTATCGACATGGTAGGCAATGAATGTCAAAAAGTTCCTTGACATTGTTTAAGTTTATAATGCAGGTGTCTAACTGGTTTATAAATGCTCGAGTTCGGTTATGGAAGCCAATGGTTGAAGAAATGTACATGGAAGAAATAAAGGAACAAGAGGAGAATAATGGATCCAAGGATAACACAAATACATCAAAAAAATCATGCAAAGAGTTATGGCCAACAACTAATGCTACACAAGAATCAAGTGCTACTAAAATTGATCAAATCAGCGTGCTTAATTCAAAAACAGAAAACTTCTACAACCAAAACGCTTCTCCAACTGAGATTTCACATTCCAACAATTCAATCTCTGTATCACCATTGGAAATGAAGTCTAACAGAGAATCCAACACAAAGTTTGAGTTCGAAAGGAATCATGACAAAAATGGTTACACTTTAATGTGTGAAAATGAAAACCATGGTAGTGGTTATGGAACAATATTCTCAATGGAAGATATTGGAAGGTATAATGTTAGTGAACAACTAGCTCCTAGATTTCATGGAAATGGTGTTTCTCTCACTCTTGGTCTACCACATCATGAAAATCTCCCTCTTTCTTCAACTCAACATGGATTTCTCTCTCATAGTATGCATATGGGAGGGAGGATTGAAATGAGAGAGAATGAAAATGAGTTTTGTGGCATTAACACTACTCCCCCTTCTTCTCATTCAGGCACAAGTTATGACAGTGTTGATATTCAAAACAAGAAGAGGTTTTCTACACAATTATTACGTAACTTTGTGAACTAATAAGATATTGGATATGAAATTATTATGTGCCATAATGATTTTGATCACCCTATCAAATGTCAATTTGAACAAAAATTTAGTGTATAGTTAAGATTCAAGTTGATTTTGGAATATATATATATATATATATATATATATATATATATATATATATATATATATATATATATATATATATATATATATATATATATATATATATATATATATATATATGTATGAAAAATAAATAGGTATGTATAGGAGTTGAACGAGTTCTTTGGAATTATTTATACTTAAAGACAGTTATGCCTTAATGTGTAAGATTGATATTTCCTACATGCATGTAATTTTTGTTTCCTTTAGGGTTTGTAATGGGCTGGAAATCATGAAAGCTATAAAGATGTACAAATTTTTTGAAAGCTTTCATTAGAATATGAATGTGTATGTGATCTATATGGGATTTGGATGGAATTTATTACTTATTGCAAACCTTACTCTTGTATGCATGCATATTATGGTCTTTTTGAATGGAAAATAATAATGGTGAAATATATGTTGCCTTTAGAAAATTATAGTGAGTTATTCATTACGATAAATAATATATTTTATGATAAAAATTTTATCTCAAATATTGAAAAATTGAGGTTAAATAATTTGGATTGCATCATTTATAGATAGTTTTTTAAAAATTAAATCTTAAACCTCGGTTTTGCTAAAATCCGACATAAAATGTTACCCAAAATTTGAGATTCAATTCCCAACTCCTGCAATTTTATGTTTTATTTAAAATCAAAAAGACACATTTATTTTATAAATCATCTAATCTCTCAAATTTTCAAAAAACCGAGATAAATACTCTAAGCAATCATTTATTTAATTAAATTGAATCCAATTTTTCATCGATTATTTTCCATTGGTTTTGCAGAAATCGAGATGAAAACTCTAAACAATATTTTATTCCTTCATCAGAACGATAAGTCTCATTATCTTTTTGCGCCCTAGCAAACGAAAGAAACACCATTATTCTCCACCTAACAAATTGAAACACCATACTTCATCTTCTTTTCTATAAGGAGTAAGGAAGCTCGAACCTCAAATCAACACATTTTTTTAGTCTCTCATCACATTATTGGTATGTAAAAATTTCTCCATGATTGTTGTTGTTGATGATGATGTTGATGTTGTTGTTCTTGTCGTCATTGATGTTGTTGTTGTTGCCGTCATTGATGTTGTTGTTGTTGTTGTTGTTATTGTTATGGTTTTTGAGACTTCACGTATAATGTAGTGTTGTTTTTCTGGTACTTTTAATCATTGTTTGTTGTTGTTGTTGTTTTACTTAAATGGAACATTAATTTTTGTTGGTTGTGTACTATTTTTATTTTATTTTTAGAAATTGTTTGTTATTATGGATTGTAGTTAGATGAAAGCCAATAGATTTAGTAAAGAATATGAGAATGTAGTGATTAAATTTCTTGAATTGACGAAAAAAAATCTTCCTAACGATAATGAGATTTTGTGGTGTCCTTTTAAAAATTGTTGAAATATCCAAAAACATCCAAGGGATGTTATATTCAATAATGTAGGTTGTGACATAACTATTTAGAGTTACACGGAATGAGCATGACATGGTGAGTTGACAAAAAAAGGAACGCTTCACATAGAGTTGAAGTTGATGACTTTATGAATGATACTCTAGAAGATATAATTTGTGATATTGGTGTAGATGCTTTTAAGAAAACTCATGTGAAAGAAACTCTTCAAAGAGACATGGAAGAGTCGTTAAATCCAGGATGAAAAAAATTTACAAGATTGTCAGTCGTGTAAGACTATTTAATCCTAAGGTAAGAGGTGGGTGAACGAATAAAAGTTTCAGTGAATTGCTTCAATTATTGCAAGAAATGCTTCTAGAAGGTAACATGTTCTCAAATCATAGTTATGAGGCCAAGAAGATATTGTGTCCAATGTGTTTGGACTTTGTAAAAATACTTGCATGTCATAATGATTGCATATTATATAGAAAAGAGTATGACAATGATGTTGAAGATGATGATGGTGTAACTTGAAAGGGAATTACTTCCAAGGTGATGTGGTACCTACTAATAATTCAAAGGTTCAAGAGATTGTTTGCTAATATAAATGATGCAAAGAATACTGGATGACATACAAATGAAAGATTATGTGATGAAAATAATTCTCCATGTAGTTGATTCATTGAAATGGAAGAAAATCGATTCATTATTGCTAGATTTTTCCCTAAAGCAAAATAAATTTAGGCTTGGACTTGCCTTCGAAAGAATGAAATCGTTTGGTAATTCGAGTAGTAACCATACTTCACGACTTGTTCATCTCATTGTTGTGGTGAGAATCAGATATCAAGCTATTAATTAACTTGAATCACAAATCTTTAAATATTCACCACCGAGCTTTGATTTATAAAAAAAAAGGGTAAATATTGAAGAAAACTCTAATTGCGCTACGTAACAACGAAACTAAGAGATCGGGGGGTTCAGGGATTGGTTATACTAAGGGAAGATATTAACACCCTAAGTATCTGTAGTACTCTACATGAACCTCTTGTTTGGTAATTGTGTTATGTTAATGTATGTCTGCTAATGGTTAGATGTTAAGGTAAGGATTGCTAAAGGTAAAGACCTATGGGTATGTACACTAAGTATGCTCACCAATGATACTTAGGGTGAAGGAACTCTTGACTATGGTAAAGGTTCTAAGGGGAATAAGTATTCATAACAATGATACTTATATAGAGTTGACAAACTCTATAAGTCTAAGTTGAACAACATAACTGGGGATTGACGTTTGACAAAAAGTCAAAAAGGTGAGTACCCATAACAATGGTACTCACAAAGAGTTAAACAAACTCTAGTCCTAAGCTTTAAGTTACAAGACTCCTAACAAGGTATGTTAAAGGTCTTAACTTAACAAAGTCAAAGGGATGAGGTTCTAACTTATGACTAAGTTAAAAGTCCTAATGACTCTAACAAGGTCAAAGGGAGGTTTTAGAATAATGCGCTATCTATAACATGGAGTCAATAGAGAGACTTTCCTTTGGACTTAGTAACACAAATCAACTTTTTTAGGACAGGAGCTAACAAGCTACATCACTTGGGGAAATTATCAAGCTTAAGCACGCGTACATTCATTCAAACATGATGAAGATATAATATCATGGTGACAACCAAGAAGATAAGGGCAAGCATGTGACAAAATCAAGCAAAGATTTGATAAAGTTAATTGGTGACAAGGTTAGAACCAAGTACCCATCCATAGAAGTTTAAAATCAAACCAATTATAACTAAAGATAATCATAGATGTTACAACATCTAAACAACTATGAAATAAGATTCTTACAAGATCAAACACCGTAGATGAAAAGTACAAGTGAATCATGTAAGTCAAAACATCACTTATCATAGCAAAGTTCAAAATTCAAGATCAACATGCATAAATCATAACAATATTTAAGGCATGTATACAAATCAAGTTGAGGTAACAACCAAAACATCTTTGAAAAAGGGTGTGACATGTGTAACAACAACATGTGAGTTATGGTGAGTCATCTTAAACATAAAGGTAACAACCAACATGTAAAACGAGTTCAATCATGGTTTTTTTGAAGAGGATGAGAAACATCTCAAGGGTGATTAATACAAACATGGATACTAAACATATTTCAAAGCAAAATAACAAGTGTTTAAGAATATTCAAGGCATGGTATAAGAACATGAATCCCATGTTCATTCAAATCAATTGATCATAGAAGAGAATCACATGTTAAAGGCAGGGTAACAACCAAAGTTTCAATGATATTCAAACATGTATTTACATATGAACATGAACTTGACAAAAGCAATAACCATCATGTAACAATAATGGTATATGAATTCACCATATCAACTAAGTTCATACAAGGTATGAGAGGTTCATACAAGTCAAAATGTGCAAGGAGAATCAAAGGAATCAATCAAAAGATCAAAAGGAAACCTAAGAAACCCTAAAAAAAGGTCAGATACTTTGGACATGAATAAGTACCAAATAAATAATTCTTTTTGGAATTTTCTGGACACAAATGGAAAATACACATTCTTATAAGCATTTATAAAAAGAGTAAGGTCAAAATGATAAAAATCAAAAGAGTTATGATTAAATCAAATATGAAAATTAGGTATTAAAAATAGAAGGTTATATGCACTCAATGAGGTTTGAACCCACACTCTACTGCTTGCAGGTCAAAACTCTAACCATCCAACCAACGTGAATGTTATAAATCATATGGAAACATGATAATATATTTGAAACAAGCTTCATGAGTGAGAAAAATATGCAAAATCATCCAAAAGGTTGGTTGCTAGGACTCGAACCCTGGTCAGGAAAGGCAAGAGAGTACTTGAAATGCGCATGGTAAACAACTGGGGTGGTGATACATCCATTATATCTCCTCTCTAGATAAACACATAAACCTAAAGATGACCTGAAGCCTGACCACAAGGGCGCCATGGCCATGACCTTCATTTCTCAAAATCAGTTTGCAAAACATAACATATCTTCCTCAATATTCCATGAAAATGGATAATTCAAAAATCAAACTTGCTTAAGTATTCACAAGGATCATAATGGTACCATTGGTTTTGTCTAAAAATGTCTTCATTTTAAAACATGATAAGCAAAGAGAACTTCAAGAAAATGAAGTAACATAAGCAAAGCAAGGTTTGCAACAATTTATAGATGTTTTATGGGGTGTGTTAGAAGTTTAAGAATGATTGGAATCGGTCTGGATTAGGACTTGGCTTAAAAAGTGAAAAAGGTCAACCAAAGGAGGTTTTGGAGTTTGAATTTCTGGTTTAACAGGTTTGGAGGGAGGATAAAGGTTTAGACACCTTCAAGGGGTGATTTTTATGGTGTTTGAACAAGTTTTTAAGTGGTTTTGTGTTTGGAGAAGACATATTGAAGGTTTGTGCAAATGGAAGTTTCTTGGTTTCAAAAGGTGAATTGAATACCAA